TTTTAATAAATTGTTTTTAGACATTTATTAGAACATAGTTACGACTATTCCGACATTAGAACATTAATAGAATTATTAAAAATATTTTTTTTAATTAATTTGTATATGCATGTGCTTCATAATGTTTATTTAAATGACAAGTAAGATTTGATAATATAATTATATATTTTATTTATAAATTGTTGTTATACAAAAAAAGAAAAAATATAGTGTTTACATTTTTATTTTTTATTTAGATAGTTCAAGACGAAAAATTGTTTAAAAAAAGAAAAAAAGAAGAAGAGAGAGGGAGAAAGGAGCAAAAAAATGTTCAAAAATTTAAAGGAGGAAGTAAAAGGAGGAGTAAGAAGAAGGAAGAAGATAAAATAATATATATTCGGAAGAAAAGAAAAAAGATTGAAAGAGGCAGAGGTATAATACATATATCTTTATATAGAATATATGTATATATATATATATATATATATATATAAAGAGAGAGAGAGAGAGAGAGAGAGAAAATGTGTGCGTGTGCGTGTGTTTGTGTGTATATGAGACAGAGAGATGGGAGGAAACTTAAGAAAAGTATGTTTGTGTTGGTATGTGTATGTATGTATTACGTAGAGGAATATAAAAAATTATAAATAAAATAAAATTTTAAAAAAAATTTAATAATTAAAAATAAATATAAAATAATTTTAGAAATTTTAAGTCGTCTTCTTTATTTTAAGTAGAGTATTTCAATAATTTTTTTATATTTTAAAACAACATTGAATAATTGTTATTTCCTCATAAAACGTATAAAAATAATAATAACGTATGAAATAACGTATAAATAATAATAATAATATAAATATTAATAATAAAGCATATAATCAACTAGGTAACAAATTTTAGAGTAGATTATTTTATTAAAAATATATTAATAACATTAAATTAACATAAATAGTAAAGACTATAACATGAAATTAAATGAATGGTAATAATAGAACATGAAATTAAGGAAGAATTTTTCTTGAGGTTTTTTTGTTTATTTATTTAATATTTTAATGAGAAATTATATAACTTGCAATTAGTAAATATGTAATTAATATTTTTTGTAATTTTATTGTAATATTATTTAAATTTTACTTTGTTATTTGTTCTTATTAAAATTTTTGATATTAGTTTTAATTTAAGTTGTTTTCTTAATAATATAATGTTATTTATTTTAATTCTTTATTGTTGAAAAAAATTGTTTGTTAAATATTGAAAATTATTAATTAAAGAAAAGAGAATATAAGAAGTTTAAAGCAATATATAAATGGAGACTAATTAAGAAAAGAATCTAAAATAACATGTTTAACATAATTATTAAAATAAGAAAATAAAATTTATTCTCAATTTTAAAATTATTAAAACTCCTTACTTTGGAATATATATAGGATTATAAATAATTGGAAATATATAAACTTCTTTAAGAAATTATATTTTGCAGAAAAATAATTAAGTATTAAAACACAATTGAAAATATCAGAATTATTTAGTTTTGCAACAAAATGGGTAAGGTAACTATTTAATTTAACAATTTAATGTAAATATTTTATGGAGTATTATATAAATCTGAAATTTTCTTTGGAATGATTTATTATGGTTCTTTTTATTCTTTTAAAAGTGAAAAATTACGTTAGTTTAAAAAAGTTATTTCTATATATAATTTTTAAATTTTATGTTTTTGGGGAACATACTCGTTTTTTCATTTACTCTTATTTGGCGTTGTGGTACTATTTACCTGATTATCTTCTGCTTTTCTTTTCAAAGGTATTTCAACAGCTTTTTATTAATCTTTTAACGGCATTTTTCCAACTTTTTATTGTATTCTTTGATATTATTGACAACTAAATATGAGGGAACAGCTATAAAATTAATATATATTTAATATATATATATATAATTAATAAATTGTATAATTCAATATGAACATAAAGATAAGGAAAAAGAGAGTTACAATATGTAAAAATTATAAGAAATAATTAAAAATTGACTTAAAATAACTATAATATCAAGGAAAATAAATTATTTCGTATTGGACTTTCTAGAAGAAATTTTAGCATGCTAATAATTTAAAAGATATTATTTTAAAAAATTTAATTTAATTTAAGGAATAAATATATTCGAAATAAGCATAATATTTATAGACAAACATTGGATGTAAACAAATGTATAATAATTATTGTAAAAATGAATTCTATATTATAAAAAAAAAATAATGCCAAAGATAAATATGAAATTAATTAAATTATAATTCATTATTTATTAAATTAATTATATTTTAATTTATTATTGATTCAAATTAATTAAATTTTAATTTATTATTTATTTAAATTTAAGAATAAGTTATTACTTATTTAAATTTAAGAAGTAAATATTTCCCACTTAATATTTAAATTTAATAAAGATGTGTTTGCATAAGTGTTTGCATTAAAAGTTATTCAATGTTTTTTATATTGATATTTATTTAATCTAATTAATTTATTTTTAATTTGATTTATTATTTCTTTATAAACTTCGCTTAAAAAAATATAATAATTAAATTATATAATATAAAGTATACCATAATAATAATAAAAAATATAAATAGTAAAAGAACACAACGGAAAAATTAATTTGTTTTTCTTTGATATATTAAATTAATATCAAAATGTTTATAATAAAAAAATTTTTAAATTTAAAAATAACATTATAAATTAGAAAAAAATTTAAATTATAAGTTTAATAATTTTAAATTAAAAAAAATTCAAGTTCGAAAAAAATATATTTATAAAAAAAAATTAATTTAAAAAAAAAAAACATTCATAGATAATAGATTTTATATAAAAATAAATATTAGCCCACATAGAAATTGACATCCAGTGGATGTCCATTAAACGGCCATAGCTCCATAGGACATCTATCTCCATGATGGAAGTCAGATAGACGTCCATTAGAGATCCATTAAATCTCCATAAGTCTATGATATGTTGATTTCCACGATGGAAGTCAGACAGACGTCCATTAGAAATCCATAAAACCTCCATAGGTCTATGAAATGTTTACTTCCGCGATAGAAGTCAAACAGATGTCTGTTAGAGATCCATTCAACTTCCATAGCACTCAGACGTTGACATCCACGATGGAAGTCAGATAGACGTCCATTAGACATCCACTAAACCTCCGTAACTCTATGGAATGTTTACTTCCACGGTGGAAGTTAGATAGAGATCCATTCAAACTTTATAGCAATGAAATATATTTACTTCCACGGTGGAAGTTAGAGAGACGTCCATTAGAGATCCATTAATNCTGTTGCCTTCCAATAATGCTATCAGTTATGGGTCCAAACACCCGACACGACACTGACCGCTTAAATACATATAGCACGAGATCTGTAAACACGAGTGAAATCGTCAGCCATTTACGTCATTTACCTTGTTTCCAAAAGAAGCACAACGGTTGTGTATCGCGGTAACAGGAAACAGTCAAAGAGTCATTTTTAATTATCCTCACGTATTAATGAGTGTGTAAGGAGTACCTTTCCCGACGCGCGGATCGGCTCGCCGGAATCAGGGTTCGGAGAAGGGGAGGCTCAGGCTCGCAAAGCACCACACAGTTCTGGGCGAAAAATATGTTATATTAATAAAAAAGAACAGGCAGATGAGAGTTTCGGGCCGGTAGACCCGTACAAAGTATGCTAAGCTGGGGTCTTTACAAGACGCCGTGACGGAAGCCGCGGATGCGCTTCACTTATACTAAATCTAAGAGCTAACGGGTATGACCTAATACTAATCAAGATATTTACAAAAACCTATGCTACAATTGCGCGGACGGTCCTTTCGAACGCGGATCGCGGAGAAACCCAGGGGGTCGCGTGCGGTATAGCACGGACGCGGGCCTAACAGGCCTGCCATCCGAGGTCGGCTGAGGACGGGAAGAACCCGTCCTCCGGGTGACGTACACGGGTGCCCCGTGGTACGTCGGGATACTGGACGTCGGTAGCAACCAACCGGGCCCGGTAGCAACCGGGCTCTAGACCAGGGTAATTAAACAGGACCTCCCCCCAGAATAACACGCGGACGACGGACGAGCAGTTTAACGGGCGACCGTGACGAAAGGTCGGTCGAGGATCTGGTAGGAGGAAAAGAAAGAACAGTTTATTTCACAACAATCTTATTCCGCGGAGGGCCGTGAGATATGCAGAACGGGTGGGCGGTAGGAGCTGTCCTCCAGGAGCTGCGGTGGTTTCTCAGGTACCGTGGATCCGGCTGTCCTCCAGGAGTTACGGCGGCGGTCGTTCCCCAGGTGCGGTGCTCGTCCACGTAGCCCGAGGCCGTAAGAGGGGGGGGGCGTTGTTACCGGAGCCGTGAAAACGGCTAGTTGTTCCAAGAGCCGTGAAAACGGCTAATTATTCCCGGAGCCGTGAAAACGGCTGTACGGATGCCAGGATGCGAGCCGGACAAGTCCGGACGTCGGTTGAGACCGACCGAGTACGAGAGCCCCGTACCGTGGACCGGGTCGTCCGTGGCTCGACGGAGAGTGGGTCGGAAGTAAGCCGGACAATTCCAGACGTCGGTTGCAACCGACCGAATACGGGAGCCCCGTACCCTGGACTGGATCGTCCGTGGCTTGACGGAGGGCTTCTGGACGTTGGATGCAGCCGACCGGGCACGGCTAAGGCCGTGTTCTGGACAGAAGCAAGGATGGAAGAGGAGTTCGGTAGGCTTCGAATGCCCAGGGTGCGCCCTGTGGCTTCTAGCGTCCCGAGAGTCGGGACAGGAATAGGTACCGGTCTGCCGGAGCGCCGCCTTATATACCCGGCTAGCTACCCCCACTCGATATCCCCACGCGGTCATGCGCGTAGTAGTGGGGTAGGACGCGATTCTCAGTCCGCGGCTCCCAATTCCGCGGCTCGGTCGAGGTGCTCAATCGGCGGCGCTTGGCGCCAAAAATGGCGCCGCGCTGTGTCGTGCGCTAGTAACGGCCTAGCCGTTACATCACCCCCTGTTTCACGGGGAACCTCCCGGTCCGGCAGTCGCTTCACGGAGCGTTGGCGGCCTCGGTGGTCGAAGCGGACCACCCAACGCCCCGTGGTGGTCTGCACCCTGTATTTTCGGCCTCGGTGTGCGGCGAAGTGCGGGACCTCGGCGGTTTCGCCGTCCGGCAGGTGGACCCGGACCGGTGGAGGCAGAGTCGGGTCGGTGGTCGCCCGAGCCAATACCGCGCAGACTGACGGGATCGCTGGTGGTGGTGGCGCGACCCTGGGGCCGCCTGCCGCGGCGGGAGATGGTGCGGCGGTCGGAAGGTGGTGCGGTGGTCGGCGGTAGTGCGGTGGTCGGAGGTGGTGCGGTGGTCGGCGGTAGTGCGGTGGTCGGAGGTGGTGCGGCGGTCGGCGGTAGTGGCGACGCGGTCTTCGTCGCCATTGCGGCTGGGGTTCGGCGGGTAGGCCGTCGTCGCGACAGTGCGATGGGCCTACGCCCCGGGTGCGTGATGGTGGTGGCGGCGGCTCGGCCAAGAAGATCGCCGATTTACGGGCTCGGTCGCGGTCCGACCGTTGGATCGTGGTCCCGGGCTTCGGTGGCGGTCGGCGCCCTTCCTCCCGCCATTCTCTCTTCCTCTCCCGCTTTTCTCCTTCGGAGGAGTCCTCCGTGTCACTACCGAACAGCTCGTGTACTAATTTTCGCTTTGACATGCTGACTGGTTACTAAACGGTAGAGCGCTCGTCGGCCTTATATAACCCACCGGACTGGGCCGAGTGGTGGGGTAATGGTTGGACGGGCCTCCTTATTGGCTAACGCCCGGGGATGTACCTTTTAGGTCGCGGACGTGTACGCGGCGGTGCCACCTACCGGAATCGTCGCGCAAATCCACTATAACTGGGGAAATGATCTTCTGTACGGTCATTGGCCCCTGATAACGCGGCGCTAGTTTAGCGTTGAAGCCCTCCGATTTGTCGGATAGAGGATGGTCCCGTTTCCATACGCGGTCCCCTATTCGCGGTCGCCAGTCGCGCCTGCGCAGATCGTAATACCGCTGTTGCCGTTGGAATGCGCGCGCGAGATTTACGCGCACGACTTCGAACGTGTCCTCGAGAGTTTGTCGGACGGTTCCCGGGGCGGTGGAAGTCAGGGGTGGTCGCCGATCGTCCGGGTGTGGAAGCGCGAGTTCCCGACCGTGTATCAGGAATGCCGGAGTGTATCCGGTAGCTTCTTGCCTGGCCGTGTTGTAGGCAAATTGTAATTGTGGTATATTCTCATCCCAATGCCGGTGTTTCTTCCCCACGAATTGCGCAATCATTGTTTTAATCGTTCGGTTGGCCCTTTCCACCGGGTTACATTGCGGGGTATAGGCCGGTGCAGTGTGATGAGTGATACCGAATGCTTTTAGCAGATCCTGAAAAGGACGTGACTTGAACTGCGTGCCATTATCCGATACTATTATGTCGGGACACCCGTGGCGATATATCACACGATTTGTGACCTCCCTGACCTTGTGAGTTACGTTGTCGGCGGTTGCTTGACGCAACGGGGCTAACTCCAGCCACTTGGAGAAACGATCCTGTACTGAGAGTAGCCAGGTGTGCCCTTGGGTGGAGCGTGGCAGTGGGCCTACCAAGTCTATCGAGACCTGTTGCCAGGGGGCGTCGATATTCGTCGCGTGTAGCCGCCCTGCGGGTAGTTGTTGAGCGACTTTGTGAGCGGCACAGCTTAGGCAATTTCGCACGTAACGGGCAACGTCTCGGTACATCCCGGGCCAATAATACAGGCGAGCTACTCTTGCGATTGTTTTCGAAATCCCTAAGTGGCCGGCTGTCGGGTCGTCATGAAATCGGCGCAATACTTCTAGTCGGTCTGGAGCCGCTACGCACCGTTTCCACTGCTCGTGGGCGGGAGTCTCATGGAAATCCAGGCTATGTAGGATGTGATGGTAGAGCTTGCCCTCTTGCAGCCGGAAGTCTGGGTAATCTAACGGGTTCTTTCGAACGCCCTTACTAATTCGTTGGTACCATGGACACCCTTTGACTTTCTGAACCGCGCTACTTTCAGGCTGCCGAGACAGCGCGTCGGCTACTTTATTAAGAGCCCCTTTTCGATAGCGGATGTCGAAGTCAAACTGCTGTAGTTCGAACACCCATCTTCCCAGGCGACCGGTAGGAGCTTCGAGTCGCTGTAGCCACTTCAACGATTGGTGGTCAGTGACTACCGTGAACCGGTATCCTTCGAGATAATCTCGCATTCGGCGAATTGCCCACACTACGGCTAGGCACTCTAACTCGGTGGCGCTGTAATTTTTCTCGGCCTGATTTAACGTCCTACTCGCGTAGGCAATTACGCGTTCCCCCTGCTCTAGGTGTTGGGTGAGGACGGCGCCTAGGCCCTGGGTACTGGCGTCAGTCTGCAGGATAAAGGGTTGGTTAAAATCTGGGCATGCTAAGACCGGGGCCGTAGTGAGCATGTCTTTTAGTCGTTGAAAAGCGTTTTGTTCTTCGTCGGCCCAGGTTAATCGGGTGTTTTTCCGCGTGAGACGCGTTATTGGGGCCGCGATGGCCGAAAAGTTCGGTACGAATCTTCGATACCATGAGGCCATCCCTAGAAACTGTCGAACTTGGCGGACAGTGGTCGGCGCGGGCCAATTCTTAATAGCGCTTACTTTGTCCGGGTCGGTGCGGATTCCTTCTCGGTCTACGATGTGACCTAGGTACTTTAAACGGTCTCTACAAAAATGGCATTTATCGACATTCAGCTGTAACCGAGCTTGTCGTAGTCGCCGGAAAACTTCCTGCAGATGCGTCAGGTGTTCTTTAAATGTCCGACTGACGATGATAATATCGTCCAGGTATACGAGTACGTGGGGGTCTAGGTCTGGGCCTACGACGCTATCTAGAAGTCGCTGGAAGGTGGCGGGTGCCGAATGAAGGCCGAACGGCATTACGCGGAACTGTAAGAGACCCCGCCCGGGTATTGTAAACGCGGTGGCAGGTCGGCTATCCGGATCGAGAGGTACCTGCCAATACCCGTCTTTAAGGTCTAAAGTCGACAGGTACTTCGCCCCCCTTAGCTTATCCAGTGTGGCCGTGATATGCGGCAAAGGATAGGCGTCTTTCTCCGAAGCCTGGTTCAATTTCCGGAAGTCGATACAGAACCGGAAAGCCCCATCCTTCTTTCTCACCAGGACCACCGGGGAGCTCCACGCACTATTGGAGGGTTCTATCACCCCGGCTTCCAGCATTTTATCCACTTCGGTGTTTATCACGGCTTGCATGGCCGGGTTTCTGGGGCGGTATCTCTGCTTAATCGGTAGGCCGGGTTTTAAGCGGATAGTGTGCGCGACACGGTCGGTAGGACCTCGGATTGACCTGAATTTCCGCAGTTCTCTCTCGAGAAATTGTTTAAATTGTCGGTCCTCCGTTTCGGATCGGGGGGCAATTCCCGCCGAGATATTGCCGGTGGTAGTTGATACCTGTGGGGTAGATGCGACTTGATCGCGCGGCGGAGCCGGTATAGTTATTCCTAGTTTGGCCCATAGATCCGTGCCAATGAGCATGGCACTTCGGGAAGCCGGCATGACCCGGAACCTATGGTCCACCCCGATTCCTCCGACCCTTACCGTGAGGTCGGCGACGGCTTTCACCGCGGCTTCGGTGCCGTCGGCCAGTATTATAGGTTCGTCCACGTCTAGTACCGGTCGTCCGGCTGCCTCCATTCTTTTCGCAGTTTCATCGTTGATGAACGAGATTTCGGACCCGGAGTCGAGTAGTGCCCATACCGCGACCCCTTGAGCATGCACCTGAATATGCGGCCGTGGCGTATATCTTATTCGGAAGCGGGTCGGAGTTCGGCCGCCTGGTTGCCGACCCGTGGGTCGTTTCCCGACGGGGGATGACAGTCTCGTGTCAAGACGCCGTCTTTTCCGCAACGAGAACAAAATTTCCTAGGGGGTCGCTTACAGTCGAGGCGAGTGTGCCCCCGCTGTTTACAGCGCCAGCAACACGTGTTCCGGTCATACGGAACGGTAGCCACACTGGCTTCAGGAGCTTTCTTAGCCTCCTTGGCACTATCTTTGCGGCGTTGATCAATTGTCTCGTACTCCGCGGCTCGACGGAAAAGCTCGGATATCGTGTTAATCTCGTCAATTCGCGCGTAGAGCTGGAATTCCGGATTGGCATTTTCGCAAAGCTGGTCGATTTGTTCTTGGGTAGTATAGCCCCCAGCCCTGCGCATCATCGTTAAGACGGTTGTCGCGTATTTTCGGAAAGATTCGTTGGGTTGTTGCTTCTGACGCTGAATGTCTCGCCTCAATTGGCGTTGATACCCGCGGGGCAGGTACTGGTCTTTTAATTCCTCGCAGAATTGTTCCCATGTATTCCAGGAGGACCGACAGTTTCTGTACCACAGAAGCGCGTCGCCTCGTAACAATTCAGGTAGCCCGGTTAATAACCGCGACCCCTCGTAACCGTAGGCCGTACTAAGTTCCTCCACCCGTTCGAGGAACGAGAGGGGGTCTTTCCCGTCAAAGTGTAGGCCCCATTTACGTATTTGATTTAGAATCGGGGCCGAGTCTTCTACTGGTGGTTCCGGGGTACTGGGCACGCTCAGGTAACGATCGTTTCCGGATTTTGCCATCTCTGCGTTTTCCGCGATAGTGTGGTCCCGAAGACGTTGACGCACGGTCTCAAAGTTCCCGGTGGTGTCTAACCCGGCCGCGGATAATCTAGTAGTAATCTCGGACTTATTCAGTCGGTAAATTCCCGAGAGCATGGGTGTGCGAGTCGGAGCCTCAACGGACAGGTCCCTGTTCGGGCGCCATGTAACGGAGCACCTTTCCCGACGCCGCGGATCGGCTCGCCGGAATCAGGGTTCGGGAGAAGGGGAGGCTCAGGCTCGCAAAGCACCACACAGTTCTGGGCGAAAATATGTTTATTAAATAAAAAGAACAGGCAGATGAGAGTTTCGGGCGGTAGACCCGTACAAGTATGCTAAGCTGGGTCTTTACAAGACGCCGTGACGGAGCCGCGGATGCGGCTTCACTTATACTAAATCTAAGAGCTAACGGGTATGACTTAATACTAATCGAGATATTTACAAAACCTATGCTACAATTGCGCGGACGGTCCTTTCGAACGCGGATCGCGGAGAAACCCAGGGGGTCGCGTGCGGTATAGCACGGACGCGGGCCTAACAGGGCCTGCCAACCGAGGTCGGCTGAGGACGGGAGAACCCGTCCTCCGGGTGACGTACACGGGTGCCCCGTGGTACGTCGGGATACTGGACGTCGGTAGCAACCGACCGGGCCCGGTAGCAACCGGACTCTAGACCAGGGTAATTAAACAGGACCTCCCCCCAGAATAACACGCGGACGACGGACGAGCAGTTTAACGGGCGACCGTGACGAAAGGTCGGTCGAGGATCTGGTAGGAGGAAAA